TTTTTTTATTCTCTCTCTCTCTCTCTCTCTCTCTCTCTCTCTCTCTCTCTCTCTTTCCCAAGACAGGGTTTCTCTGTAGCTTTGGAGACTGTCCTGGAACTAGCTCTTGTAGACCAGGCTGGTCTCGAACTCACAGAGATCCAGCAGCCTCTGCCTCCCGAGTGCTGGGATTAAAGGCATGCGCCACCACCACCCGGCAGGACAGTCAACTTGTAATGAGGAGAGATTTACTTTGACCCATGATCTCAGGGACTCCAGCCTATGGTCAGTTGGCTCCGTTGCATTATGGCCCGCACTGAGACATGACATCATGTTGGGAAAGCACATGGTGGGGAGCAGATGAGGGAACAAACCTCTCCTCCTCATGGTGGCTGGAAAACAAAAAAAGAACCAGAAAAGTAAGGTTTTGATATCCCCTCAAAGGGCATGACTTGAATAACCTCCCATTAAGTCACTCCTAAGAGTTCTGCCACTTCCTAGTAGTGCCCCAGGCTGGTGACCAAGTCTTTCTCAAACAGATCTTTGAAGAACACTTCCCGTCCAAACCATAACTCTGTTAAGAACCATTCTGCTTAGAGCAGCTGGCATAGCAGGCAAAGGGTAGGCGGGGGAAAGAGAAGGCTCCTCCAGCTCAAAGAGTATTACATCAAATCATGGGGATGGGCAGAGATCCTCCAAGGCAGATGGTTCTAGGTAGCCTGTACCAGAAACACCTGCCCGAGTTCAGGCAAACAATCACTCCTGGGCAGTAGGATCGGTTCCACTCATTGATCACAGATGTTCATGGAGCGCTCTCCCCTGGGCCTAGCAGGCAAGGCAGAAGCAATTGAGATCTCAGCCTGCCAATGATCTGGGTAGATCTTAGGGCGATACCAGGCATCAAGAGCCATTTAGTGGCCAGAGGATGCTTGGAGAGCCAGAGCAGGAGTCTACCGATGAGCAGCCAAGCCATACTGTAGGAGCCAGCCATGATAAGTTAAATATGAACAGATCACCCAAAGGAAGTTCTTTACTCCCAATCATTATCACTTGCCAGAGCAGGACTCAGCCATCGATAAATTTAATACATGCCTGAATCTCAGTTGTTTACCCTGAAGCAATACCTGGTTGCAGTAAGGACCATGAACTAAGATTACCTGAGCACCACCCAAAAACAGACCCATTCAAAGGAAACGTCTAACGTTCTAACTGCTGTAGTTAGGATCACCTGCCAGCACACACTCACCAGGACACCCCTAGACAAATGTCAGCCAATCAGGGGTCCTGAACCTCAGAAACCCCTCACCCCCACCTTTGCTACTATCAAACCCTATTGAGCTCAGGGCTCTCCATTTATTCCAATACGTTGAACATGTGGAGAGACTGAGTTTGCAAACTTGCATAAAATAAAAGCTCTTTGCTTTTACATATGGGACTCGGTCTCTTTGTTGGCTTTTGCGGAGACTTCATGGATTTGGGCATAACAATACCACTCACCAATCCTGTGATCTAGTTATTTAACATTTCCGAGTCTCATTGTTCTTGTTTCAAAAATGAACTAATAGAGGCACAGTTCCAAGCGATGCCACGTGAAGCGAAACATCACACTTGATCGGGTCACGGCAGAGCACTGGCTTGGAGCACTGGCTTGGAGCACTGGCTTGGAGCACTGGTTGGATCGTGACCACCGGCTTCAGAGATGCTCTGAGACCTTTGGAAATGTGAACAGCTTAAACAGTCCTGGGTTCTATTAGGCCTGAAGGCCGATTGCAGATTTCCCCCTCTTGGAATTTAACACTTTAACCTGCCCCTGTGTGGGGAGATGCTAGATGGGACTCCCGGCCCTTCCTGCCTTGACACACTCCACTGCAGCGCTGAAGAGCCTATAAATAGTGAAGGTTTTTATCTGGACTCTCTGATCTCGGGCTTTCAAAGACCGTTAGACAAATACCTAGCAGCAGATAAGATTCTTCCTCATTTCCTAGATAAATAGTTGTCAGGAGCCATTTCCCCCCTAACAATCATTACAGAAACCATCACTCTAGGGAGTCTGCAGAGAACCTCACACCCATAGTTATGTTCTATTGACAAAACCTGCCCCTCACCCAATTAATTGCTAATCTTAGCGGAACCCGCCTCACATTCCAGCTATCCAGGGAACCAGGTGTGGCCACTTGTGACTTCTGGCCTGTCTGTCTGAATGTAACCGAGCTACGTGACCGGAACCACGCGGCCTGCGAGATCCCATACCCTGCCCCTCATCCCTTACCATATATAAACTGTAACCCGTCCCTAATAAACGGAGGCCTTGACAAAGTTGCTTGGTCTCCTTCTTCTGTCTTAGCTCACTCCCTTCCAGGTAGCGCCCCTCCGAGACCCTGGAATAACTGGATTGCGGGTGGGTTACAACCCCTAGACTGAGTAGCCCACCCAACGCAATCCACAAATAGTCTGAGCCCCACTCACCAGGGAGTAACAGATCCACGCGTGTAATCTAGGTCAAATGCGTCAGAGAGGAGAAAATGTCACAGATGCGCTGACGCGATGCTTTTCAAATGCGCGTGGGGGTGTAAAAAAAAATTACACGCGAAAACCTCTCAAACTGCGCATCTGTGGATGCTGTCCACACAGTCTGACTGGGAAGTCTGGAGGTGGCCCTAAATTCCGAGTTTCAATGCAGGCTGTCCAAAGTGGGTAGTGTGTGTGTGTGTGGTGTGTAGTGTGTGTGTGTGGTGTGTAGTGTGTAGTGTGTGTGTGTGGTGTGTAGTGTGTGTGTGGTGTGTTTAAAAACTCCCGATCTAGAAGAATCAGAAGATTGTAACTTTTGTTGGATGCATGGTCCCTGGAATGGCCAAGGGGACCTCCTCTGTGGGTTTTATCTAGGAATAAAATCTATAAAATGCATGTGTCACAATTCTGTCCTCTAGGGAAAAGGCATGGCAGATGGAAACTCAAAGGTCTTAGGCTCTGTGTGTGTGTGTGCGTGCATGTGTGTGTGTGTGTGTGTGTGTGTGTGTTTGCACTGGCAGAATCTTGATACATAGCTGAGGCTGGCTCAGATTCACTATGTAGCCCAAGATGGTCTCAGACTCATGATCTTTCTACATCCACCTGGAGTGCTGGGATTACAGGCATGCACCGCCATACCCAGACTAACTGCTTTTAATAATGAAATAAAACAGCTTTCTAAGGGTGAGTGTGCCCACTCCCGGGTTCGGGGTAGGACACACAGGAAACCACTGTGTAGCCTCTCTTCTAGGCACTTTGAAGCCAGGTCCTGTTGCACAATGCGCAGAACGATCAACTCAGGCAGGGGCTGTACTTCTAGCTTCAGAGGGCGCCTGGTGTTCCTTCTGTGGCTTTGGGACTAATCTCTACTTAATACACACACACACCACACACACACACACACACCCAACCAGGGGTGAGAAGGACCTGTCCTGGCTCGATTTAGGTCCCGTTGTGAAAACCCATCGAGAACTATCTCCGCCATCTAAAGGATTATACATCTACAAAGACTTCTAAGAAGAAGCCTAAATCAGGGAACACAGTTCCAGCCATTGGACCTCGTGGTGACCACTGTATTCTCTAGTTCCTTTTGTCACAGTTTGGTGTCAGTCTTCTCCACAATATGTCACCCGAAAGGGATGGCTCTCAAAGAGGGTCTGTAGGGCCCTGTGTCTAGAACACACTAAGCCTTCAATCTTTGTTTAGTGAATGAATAAATTATATGACATTTGATACTTAACTATTAGTATAATTTAGTAAAATGCATAACTACTATTGCTAACTAATTAGTGCATTTATTTACTCCTAAAGTTTAATAACTGATTGTAGGGCTTTGAGTAAATATGACCATTATAGCGTCATAGGGTGTAGCACTATTAGGAGGTGTGGCCTTATTGGAAGAAGCGCATCACTGTGGGCAGGTTTTGAGGTCGCAGATGCTCAAGCCATGCCCACTGTGGTAGTCTCTTCTTGATGCTTGCAGATCAAGATGTAAAACTCTCAACTCTGTGCCCAGCACCGTGTCTGCCCGCATGCTTCCCACCATGGTGATAATGGACTGAACTTCTGAACTGTAAGCCAGCCCCAACTGAATGTTTTCCTTTACAAGAATTGTGATGGTCATGGTGTCTCTTCACAGCAATAAAACCCTGACTAAGGCACTAATACTATCTTTTACATGTGACTATAAATGGTACATATTATGTATGTATACTGTAACACACACATGTTTACTGTGGTTGTTTAAATAGGAATGACGCCCATAGGCCATTTATTTAAATGCTTATTATTTAAATGCTTGGTCTCCAGGCGCTGGAACTGTTTGGGAAGGATTGGGAGGCATGTCACTTGAGGTGAAGTTTTAAAAGACCACACCATTTCCAGGCCATGTCGCCCACTGTGATGGTCATGGATGAACTTTAACTCTCTGCAGTGGTGAACTCCAGAGTAAATGCTTTCTTTTACATGTTGCCTTGGTTATGGTGTTTCATTGCAGCAATGGAAATTCAACTAAGACATATATTATTATATATTTAGCAGTTAGAAGTAGAGAGGCGGCACAGTAGTTAAGAGCACTGGCTGCTCTCCCAGAATCCCTGGGTTTGATTACCAGCATCCATGTGGTGGTTCACGACCATCGATGACTAGATCCACGGGTTCTGATGCCCTCTTTGGCCTCTGTCTCCTTGTGGGGTCACTATAAAAAGTGTCTCTGAGGAATGACATGTCACCAGGCTTGGAATCTGCCAGCACCTTGGTCTTCCCAGACTCCAGAAGAGCGAGGAATGAATGTCTATGACTTACAAATTGCCTAGTCTACGGTATTTTGTTATTGCAGTGGGAGTGGGCTAAGAATCCATTTGCACCGTTTCTGCCCTTGAACAATGTACTTTAGCTAGGACTTTGCTTAAAATTCGAGCCTGGTGTGGATGTGCACGCGGCAAGACGTTCGTTCGTCGGATGTTGGTGCCAAGGTCGTACCGACTTCAGGAACAAGACGCTGAAACCTTGTGCCGTCTTTTGCAGGCCAGAGTGGTGCTGAAGCGCAGACTCCCGGCAGTCCCCATCTGGGCTGGCCTCAGGGAACATGCGCAGAAAGAAGGACTGAGAGCTCCCCTCCCTCAGGCCAATGCTCTGCTTCGCCACAGCCCATTCTGTGTCCAGTTGTTTGCCATGGGAAACAGATTGCGTCTCCACGGTTTCCCTCTGGCTTGGGAGGTCAACTCCACAGACATCAAAGTTCGCTTGTTAGAAGCCTGCAGATTTTCCAGTCTCTGTCCCATCACTGCCCCGAAGCTGTCGCCGTCAGCTCTACACCATGGAAGGTAGAAGGGCTTTGAGTTGCCAATCCAGAGGGAAAAGGCCGCAGTGCACGAGGGCAGAGGCTATCATTGGCTTTCACAATCGCGTTCCCAGCTTGTCTTAAAAGAGAAAAGCAGCCTATAAGCAGCCAAGGGATTAGGCTCTGGATCAAGTTTTCTTTATCTTTTTGGTGAAGAGGCTTCTTTGGAGAGGTTTTATCACCAGTAGTTTGACAGCCCACTACAGTCACTGGCTGCATTGAGGGGGGACCGGAAAGTACTAAAACCCCTCCCTATAACAGGCCCACCTGCCTCTGCAGGGTGAGCTAGATGTCCCGAGCAGCGGGGGTTGATGAGAATACATGGAGGCAAGAATAAAAACCCAAATGACCTGTTACAGCCACGCTTTTCATCCCGAGCCTGACAATTATATCTATCTATATGCTAATATCTAACATGAAAAATGTCTACGTGAGGGAGCGAGAAAGAGTCATTTCACTTCATGAACTCCCCTCATTTCAATATACGGACCTTTGCACTAGAGCACATAACGTTTTTTCCCTTCTAAATTTCACCTCGGGGTTTATGAACGGAATGCCGTTCTGACGTGGTTCTAAATGACCAGATGAAGATTTACCATTGGAGTGTAACGTGGCTGGGATAATACTGACATAGAAATAATTGGTTTTTGGCAGGTGGTCTTGCAGCTTTATGATTAGACCTACAAATTCAACGGCAGCAAGCTGTCCATAGACGCCTGCCCTGGATCTTCATGAAGAATGACCTGTTCCTCCCAGAATCTACCTTCCTGAGGCTCATGGGCCCCAGCAGAGCGTAACCAGGGCTTTGGATGAACACCCGTCCCTTGCTTTTCCAATGTCACAGCACACGGTAGCGTAGCACTGTCTTCTCGTGAACACGGGACTATGCTGCTGATGTGTTCATGTTTTCGAGTTGTACGAATGAAGACACGGGGGTAACAGAGTCACGTGCATTAAATCCTCCCCTTAGAAGTTGACAATATTTAAGAGACCGAAGCCCTCTCTAGGCAACCAGGCCCTGCAAAGGTTTTTGCCCCAGGTGAGGGATGTCTCCAAACAGCTTACAAGGGGTAGCACGGATGCACATGGCCCACAAAGGTGGGTGGCTATGAATATGATTTTGACTGCATCATAGTTACTTTTCTATCGCTGCAAAGAGACACCACAGACAAAGCAACTTAAAAAAGAAAATGTTTAATTTGGGCTTGATGGTTTCAGAGGGTAGTAGAGTCCAAGGTTGTCATGGAGGAGAGTGTGGTAGCAAGCAAGTATGGTGCTGCAACAGTAGCTGAGCGCTTACATAGTGAGGCAACAACAATAAGGCAGAGAGAGTCCAAAACTATCGTGGAGGGAGAGAGAGAGAGAGACAGACAGAGAGAGAGAGCGCGCGCGAGAGAGAGCTAATTGGAATGGTATATATATAGGCTTTTGAAACCTTCTCCAACAAGGCCACCCCTCCCAATCCTTCCCAAACAGTTCCACCAACTGGGGACCAAGCATCCAAATGTAAGAGCCTATGGGGCCATTCTTATTAACACTACCACGGGATAGAATGAAAATTTCATTTGGAGAACTACTCATCAGAAACTCTTATATGTCAGTCCTGCTCTAGGTATTCAGGAGATAGAATGAAGAGATACAAATGCTGATTTCCAGCAGTTTATGTCCAGCGGGATTTAGTAAACAAATAAGAAGAGTCATGTGTCTGTTAGCTTTCTTGCCTCTCTGACAGGTTGCCTGGCATAAAAGAAGGAAGGACCCCATGGATTCAGAGGTTTCAGTCCGCTGTGGTGGAGAGGGGGTGGTGGAGCATTGCACATCCGAGCCAAACAGAAAGCAGAGACGGGATAGCCTGGGGAAACAGGTCTAACTCTCAGAAACACAATCCCAGTGAACTCCCAGCCAAATTAGCACAGGTGGAGATCAAGCGTGGATACCCAGCGAAGGCTATCTCGCATCCAAACCACAGCGAGAAAGAGCTGTAGAATGTTCACAGTAGCCCAAGAGGGAGAGGAACTGCCAGAAAGACAGAAACAAGATGATTTCAAGGAAGAGAGAAATAAACGGGCCTGATGCCGACAGTCAATGGTGGGCCCTACTCATCTCAGGCAGACGGAATGAGTGTGTGGCTAAACCAGGTATCAAGGTCCACAAGAAGCTAAGCTTTAGTCCTCTTACAATGATGCTTATTAAGTGCCTGCTTTGTGCCAGGCTGGGTATGGCCACTGGCAGTGCCACTTTAGCCATTAATCAATGCCACTCCGGCGGGGAAATGTGGTACCATAACTCAGCCTCCACAACACAATTAGAGGGGCTACGCGCTCGCGGTAAATCCACCCAGGAATTACGCCGGCTTACAGCCTATTAACTTTTACCACTTCCTTAATACAAAGAGAATTTTATTACCAATTATGCAGCAAGTTAAATTAATATTTATAAGAGTCTCGGAGGCCGGGCGGCGTGATGAGATTTCTAGATGTGCCTTGCTGGTGCTGGATTTATTCCCCCCTTGCCGTCCCGTGGTCCCTCAGTGGGGATGAAAAACACTAAGTAACGGGAACCGTGATTCCCATGAAGGATTTCCTCCCTGAAAAGTGGAAATTGGGGGAAAAGCCTTTAAAATCCAGTAAGAAACTTAGTATTGCTTACATTTCTATCATCGAGCTCGTTATTTTAGTAACCCCAGGGAAAGTACCACGGGACTGCTCTGGCTGTCCCAGCCCCGGGAAGTGTGTCGCCTTTGGAATCCGGGCAGCCCCAGCCCCTGGGGTTTGTACAATGACCAAAAGTCACACCCATTCCTGCCCTGAACTTGGCCAGGCCGCTGTCTCCTTGGAAACCTTTGCAGTTATTAGCTTTCTTCATCCAGCGTCTTCCTCGTGGCCCAGAAAGCTCTTCAGAGGCTGCTGAGTTCCACATGGCTTACACCTGGCCCTGATAGGTAGGGGAAGGGCCCTTTGTGGAAGGCAGCAGATGGGAACTGCCTGGACTTTAAAGTCGTCCGGACATCACGGGACCTGGCTCGGGAGCCTCTTAGCTGTGTGAACTTGTACGCAAAGCTGGACGTGTTGCCCGGCTTCTATTTTCTCCTGGTAAAACGGCGGCACCTTCCTTAAGGAGGCTGAGCGAGGATGGTGGGGGCGCACCTTCATCAAAAGCCAGTTCTTCCCCTTTAGCAAGGCTCCACCCCTCCACCCCACCCCCTGCAGGGATGGGGTATTGAGGAGCTGGTGAAGGGAAGGGGAGGGGAGGTGAGGAAAGCAGGGAGGCAGAAGAGGAGAACTACCAGGGTATATTGGGGAGGAGAGGGTATTGAGGAAGATGAGGGGGGAAGAGATAAACGTGAGGAGCTGAGTGTCTGTGCAGTGAGTGAGACAGGGGTTAGGATGACCGGACCGAGATAAGAAACCAGTCAAGCACCATGGAGATCCTTCCATGGTTTGGGGCAGAAAGTTGTTTTCTAGACTGGGGTAGATAAAGAAACGTCTCATTGGGCCCCACCCGAAGTAATGGCACACTGCTACAGGAAAGGTTTCTCTGTCTCCCAACCCAACCACGCAAGCAGGACTGATACTGGTGGCCACAAGGTCCCTGTGTCGGAGCATCCACCCCCCCCTCCCATCGCGGTTTCTCCAGACCTTCTGGGGGTGTCCTGTGAGCGTCCTGCTGCCGTTCCTTCTCATGGAGAGGTGGGGATAACATCTACTCAGTCCAGATGGGGCACAGACCGCATACCAAGGACTCCGCCCGAGTCTTGTGTGGTGAGCCAATGAGTTTATTGGGGTGGCTATTGGGCGCTAGAGTGACCCAAGCTGCTGCATCCCTAAAATTCTCACCCCAGCACAGGTGAGAATCCACTTATGAGGATGACATCCGAGGGATCCTCTGCGCACCTGGCAGGCAGTGCCAGCCGAGTCCTCCGGCACCCAGCGATTGTCTGCTGTTTATAACCCTCTGGGCGGGACCTTCTGAGTCCTGTGGCTTCCCTGTGTGTTTAGGAGTTTTTCTTCCTTTTCTTCAGGGGATAATATTTCAGTTCTTAGGAAAGAGCTGTCCAGCAACCTCCTTATCCTTCTGGCACTTGTCTTGAAGGTTGTTGAGGGTTGTGGGGGAAGCTTTCCTGGGGAAGAAAGGGAGATTGGGGTGGATGAGGTCTCTGCACCATGGGGCTCACATAGGTATCCAAGGCAACAGAACAGAGGTATCCGGAAGGAACGTAGCAAAGTGTTCACCATCAAGGCTCCCAAGATCATTTGCTCTTAGCTATGCCGGCAAAGGAAAGTCAGGTTCAATGTTATTAACAAAGTTTAAATAAGAGTGGTGTGTATGTGGGGGGGGGGGGGCGGGGAGGGAACGGGACTACAGAGGACAGCATATAGCCTCAGAGAGCCCTTTGTAACAGTTTAGTAACCTGAACAGAAAAACCTTTGATAAACTCCCCAGAGAGCTTAAGTATTTCCCCTCTCTCATGGCCCAGGTAGGGATGCCAGCCGTTCATCCTTGAAACAAGATGACCTACTCCATCAGCCTCAATAAACCCTAATCCTGGAGGAAGGAAGTAGGGTCTGGTTTCCACACTCGCTTAAAAAAAAAACCCTACAGGGCTTTGTTCCTCGGGATTTCTCTTCCAGGATTTGTAACACACAGATTTGATTTGGCAGGAAAAGCACCTTCTGAACATAAAGGGTTGTTTTACGTGCTTTGAGCTCCGCTCTCCCGGCCGGTGGTGTGCTTCTGTCATTTCCCCTTAAGGCCACTGGGTGGCGCTAAAGGAGCCGGGATTGCCGGTAAGACTTGCTTCCAACTCGTGTCGGAGCGATTTGGGGCAATGTAGTCACACAGGTACCAGGACAGGTGAGTGGGTGGGAAGGAGAAAGAGTCAGCTCCCTCTCGAGTCCACCTAGTCCACTAGTATGTACAGTTCATGCTCCGCTCCTCCCCTCGCCCCCATATAAATAAAGAACTAAAGTGTGTTTAGAAAAGACGTTTTTATTTGGAAAATGTTCTTTTTATTGGAGTGTAAAAGACTCATTCAAGTGCCCTGCTTTGCCCCTCCCAGTTTTCTGTCCTTCCTGAAAAAGTTAATGGCGGGGTTTTAAATTTACTCCCTCCGTCTCCTTCCTTTCTTCTTTCCTTCCTCCTGTGTAGTCCTCGGGCCTCGGCACCACCATTGCTCACCAGCAGCTTGCGTTCTGAGTAACAGTCCACCCCCGACGCCTCCCCAGGGATCAGCCAACTCCTCCTCTCCGCTGCTCTAGGATCTCCGTCCCTAGCCCCACCTCCTCCTTTGGCTACTCGTGGTCTGTCTGTCTTTCCTTCTCAACAAAAGCCGACACTCCCATCTTGCCTCTTGTCTACTCCGACCCACACTAGTTTGGTGTCCATCCCCGCAGCGCCGCTGAAACCCCACCACCCATAGTCAAATCCAGAGATTGGTGCCGTTTGGAACTACATTTCCCACAAAGCATTGCAGTGGCAGTAAAAAAAGAACTTCAAAGACCCTGATCATAATATCAGGCTTGGGCCTAGGAGACAAGGTGATCAGAGTTCTATCTTTCTATTTAGTTTTACTAAGTCAGGACAACCTTGGCCAAGTGTCCCGAGTTTCGAGTAGGTCCCCAAGATCAAAGGATCCAGAGGGGAAGATTTTGATTATTCGCTGTAACAAAATACCTCTGAGCGGAAGATCTTAGAAGTGAGGGTTTTGTTGTGGTTGCTTGCGTGTCTGTTTTGGTTTGAGACAGACGCAGTCTCACACTTTATGGATAAAGTTCATTGTCCGTTAGGTGGTCTTTGAACTCTTTCTCCTCCAGCATCAGCTTCCTCACTGCTGGGATTGCAGGTGCGCCCCGGAGTCCACGTTAGCATGAAGTGTGAACATGGGTCCGACATGCAGGAGACTCATTGCTGCTCCTGAGGCACCAGCTAGGGCAGCTGCAGTGGGGCAAGAAGACCGTCTTCCAAGGTGAATCTCCCAGCTAGCTGTTGGCGAGGAGTCCAAGCTGGGGACGAGGGGGAAAGGGACCTTGATTCTTGTCCCTGAGGCTTTTTACAACCTGAGTTTCTTCACAGGGTAGGAACTAGGGCCCAAGGAAGATTCTCAAGGGACAAGGAATAAAAGTTGTCAGGTTTTTGTTTTCAATTTTGTTTTTAAAAAAAATTGTGCATGTGTGCATGCGTGTGTGTATGTGTGTGTGCGCGTGTGTGTGCACACGTGTGCATGTGTGTGTGTGTGTGATATTGTGGCAGTGGCATGCACATGGAGGGCAAAGATCAACTTTTGGGAGCTGGTTCTGTCATTGCACCATGGTGTCTTGTGATTGAACTGAGGTCCCCTGGCTTGGTGGCAAGCCCTTTTACCCAGCGAACCATTTCACTGGCCCGTCGCCCATTTTTTAAGTCCCGGCAGTCTTGCTGTGTTTGCAAACCGGCAGTGTTGTACCCACTGAATTCTCTTTGTTAGAGGGTATCAGAGCTGAATTTCAAGAGGAGCTCACGGAGACTGCCTCTCAGAGGGGGCAGCATCAGAGAATTTGAGCCTTTTTGGTTTTCTCTGTCGTCCTGGTCTGTACGCTGACTCAGTTTCTCCCTGTGTCTTCTCACAAGATTCAGAGTCAGGAGATTCCTGCTCACGCAACAAAAGCAAAATCATCCCGCTCCCCAGTGGATTTGCTGAAAACTGGAGACAAAATCATAAACAATTTCAAAAGAATATGAGAAGGAGAAGCCAAGCCGGCCCTGTTAGGATTCCCACAGACATGGAAAGACGGTCGGGGGAGCTGGAACTTGCCCTGGGAGGAGACTGGTGTTACAAACTGTTTATGTAGACCAGGCTAGTCTTGAACTTACAAAGATCCACCTGCCTCTGCCTTTCAAGTGCTGGGAATAAAGGCGTGTACACCAATCATGCCAGACTTTGGGCATGTTTGATTGGGAACCTGATTTGCCTTTGATCTGCTCTATGTAAACAAGTTGGTTGGCTTAGTAACACATTCTAATTTGTTTAAACAAAAGAGGAGGGCATGAGCGGTGGGTGACACTTGCCGCTAATCTCCACGTTCAGAAGGCACAGGCTGGCGGTTCTCTGTGTGTCAGAGTCCAGCCTGGTCTACACAGTGAGTTCCAGGCCAGCCAGGGATCTATAGTGAGACTCTGTCTCAATTTAAAAGTCATAATTTGGAGGTCATGTTTCAAACTCTGCCCTCATTTTTCTTACTGTTGGTCTTTATTTTTTTTTAAGCTAGGACTCAGGGGATGGGGGAAAGCAGTCACAAAAGTGGAGCACAGAAGCTCATGACCATGGCCTTATGCCCTCTTTTATTTCTCTACCCCACTAAGTCTATCTTAGGACTTTTTGCCCATAGCCAAGGCCAAGCTCCCAGGAGAAAGAACAGCTGTCAGTAGCTTGATCCATTGCTCCTTCCAGGAGGGTGGAAACAGCAAACACTGGAGTTTTACGTAGTCTGACGCTCCCCTTTGATGGCCAAAGCATGATGGAGTTAAGGGAGAATAATGATCAGAAATGTTGGAGCTAATGAGTCAGGGCGCGTGTGAGAGCCCAGGGCCCACGGCGGCTGACCTTCCAAGCCCGGAGCAGAATCCCCGCCTCCTCCGTTATTGTTGCAGAGGGATTATTACCGTTATCGTCATCGGAACAATTTAGTTGTTTTGATTTGCTTCAAAGGTAACAGAAATTCATGGTCATGAGGTCCTGGCAGGCCAGGTTTTTCCCTCTGAGGCTGGTGACCTAGAAGCGAGGTGCCTTGCCAACTAGGGTAGGCATCAGGGCGGCAGATCTTTTTTTAATATTTATTTATTTATTATGTATACAATATTCTCTTGAGCCCAGGGCAGCAGATCTTAAGCTGAAGCCACTAATTTGCTGGCCCAACCCTGCCAAGGAACCATAAGGGGTAATGACTCGGTCTCTTTCCGGACTCAGCCCGATTTGAACCTGTGACCTTTAGTGACACCGTGCTTTCTACGGCTGTGTACTGAAAGGGAGAGCCATGAGCGGTCAGTGAAGTGACCGTTTCCCATGATGAAGATGACAAGGACATAAATGCACCAAGGGCTGAGATCCGCAGAGAGAGTGGCTCCGTCAGTGACCACAGTAGCGTTTACACCCGTCAGGTCTGTCTCCCTGAAACTGTCTTCCTTCTGCAAGCACCGTATTAATTTCCTCATGCTCACATACTCCTTCACCCCCATCAGTTCTGGGGTTCAGCAATGACCTTCACCCGTGGGGAATTTATAAATTGCAGTGGATCAGGTGAACTCTCATGTTCAAGGAATTTCTCCTCGAAGGGACGAAAGGACCCGGAATGTCACTTGATGTCCGCTTGGGATTCAGGAATCATCCCTTCAGGATTCTACATCTTTCAAAACTTGTCACAGGACTTCGTGAAGGGTCTGTCCGGTCTGTGCTTCAGCCTTGTTGGAGCCTATCAGTCAGAGGCATTGGGGAAATTTTGTCAGATTTCCCAAAGACTTTGCTGTTCCATTGACCGGGGCTCAGTTTTTGGCTATACTTTTAAAAATGATATTCATTCTTCAATTTAAATTATTTTTTTATTTCATTTTATATGCATTGCCTCTGTGTATTTTTTTGTCCTTTTATGTGCCAGCAGAGGGCATCAGATCTCCAGGACTGGAATCACAGATGTTTGTGAGCAGCTATGTGGGGTCCAGAAATCAAACCCAGGTCCTCTAGAAGTGTCAGACCCTTTAGCTCAAACAAGACTCTCCTTATATTTCAGTGTTAGTATCTAAAACGTAGGGGTTAGGGGCTAAAAAGATGGCTCCGTGGTTAAGGATGCTTATTGCTCTTCCAGAGGACCTGTGCTGTAGAATAATCTTTTTGTACGCTGTGAAGATTTGTCACTTGGATTGGCTTAATAAGAAGTTGAATGGTCAATAGATAGGCAGGATTTTCAGGGCAGAGAGGACAGTGGGAAGAAGGGTGGAGATAGGGGAAGAAGCCAGACAGAGTGGAAGGAGTCTGCACAAAAGATGGAATAGAGATACAAACCACATGGTAGAATGTAGATTGGTAAAAATGTGGGCTAGTTTGATGGTAAGAGCTAGTTAGTAACAAGCCTAAGCTATCAGCCAAGCTTTCGTAATTAGTAAGAAGCCTCTACGTGGTTATTAGGGAGCTAGCAGGTGAGACCAAAAACTCCACCTACAGACCTGAATTCAGTTTTTACCACAGACCCAACACCCTTTTCTGTCCTCCCCAGTTACCTTCACATATGTGGTATATACTCATACAGACACATATACGTCCACATAAGCAAAATCAAATCTTTAAACGGTGAGGATGGGTTAAAATGCTTGCATCATTTAGTTCTCTGACTCGTTCCATCAAGATCTTTCTGCCTTAAGTCATTTTGGGACAGGAGTAGGAGAGAGAGAGAGAGAGAGAGAGAGAGAGAGAGAGAGAGAGAGAGAGAGAGAAAGAGAGAGAGATGCGGCAGGTAGACAAGATGGCTCAGTTGTCCTTTCTCACCGTGGCCTAGCGAATAGGGAAGGAAGCAAAAGAGCAGGTGAGTTAAAAAGGTGAGTAGCACCCGTGCTTAAGCAGGCCCTCGAATGTGTTTTTTTTTTTTTTTTTAGGCTACTGAGAAAAATTTGCCCACATTTTTAGGAGAACAAGTTAGCAACTTGTATTCCAAGATTTGTGGTCTTGGAGCCAGTTGTTTCACATGAGTGGATTTGCTCTTAATACTTGAATTCAAGTCGGAGGACAGAAATTGAGTGGGTTTGCTCTTAATATCTGAATTGAAGTTGGAGGACAGCAGGGGATGGGCAGCTGCAAGTCAGGAGCTGCAGGGGACACTGAGGTGCTCTCCACATGCAGGGTAGGAAGAGGGGATAGGGTAGGCTGCTGGAGCCCAAGGGGACCGAGGGAGCGGCATCTGCAGGAACCCGAGAAAGACAGCAGAGCCCAGACAGCTGGGGGGGGGGGCAGGGAGGGGCGATGGGAGACTGGATATAGGGAGATTGGTGCTTAAGTTCCTGTGTCAAGGTTGAAGGGAGTCAAATTTCTCACAGTGAGAACTCCAGACATGGAGAAGTTGAGCCTGAGGTGTGGCGTGAGAAATGGAACTATGGATACAGCTCGATGTTAGCAGAGTTTACCAGGGAAAACAGCCCCCTTTCCTAGTCTCAAACACATCGCTTAAAGATCAATGGGCTCCAGCGGCTTTTGTTTTTGCCAACCTTCTGTGGTCAGTTCCTCTTGATAGTGCTCCTTTAGACTTGAATCTCGGTCAGCTTGGCCCTGCATTCCCAGGCAGGAGCTAACCCTTTCCCAGCTTCCTCGGTTTTAGAACACATAGTTTTCAGTCTGTCAAGTTCTCCCTCTCATGCGTTCCGTCTTAGAAACCCTGAACCCCCGCCGCCCCACGTTGACATGGGCTGTGATGGTTTTAATCCTTGACTGACTAGGGAAGTACCTGGGAGATTAGGCAAGCACGCACTTCGGAGCGTGGTTGTGGAGGTGATCCCAGAGGGCATGAATTAAGGAGGGAGGCTTGCTTTGTGTGTGGGCAGAGGGATTACCCAATAGGGGGGAAAACTGGATGGAGTTAAAGGAAAACAAACACTACCATTTCCAATGGTACAGCGCATGTCTATGAAACAGTTATTCAAATAGGTCAAATAAGGTCGAAGGTGTTTTGTCTGGGGAGAGGGTTCTCTCTCTCTCTCTCTCTCTCTCTCTCTCTCTCTCTCTCTCTCTCTCTCTCTCTCTCTCTCTCTGCTTCCTGGATCCCATTAGGTGAATAGCTTCTACCATATCTCCTCCCACCCCCATGATGCTCGCCGCTCCTCAAACTTAGTGTAATGCATCCAGCTGAACTTGATCTGAAACCAATGAAATGGGGAATTAAAATAAGCCTCGTATTCTTCTGAGGTTTTTTATGTCAGGAATTCTGTCGCAAAGAGAAAAACAAATACGTAGGCATTTCTGATTCACTGTACACCTAGTGTTTACTGCCTCTGGGGGTTGGGTGGCCCCCAGTTACTGCCTGGTAACTAGGTAACTAGGAAGGTCTGGGTGGTTATACTTCCTTGTTCCCTGACTAGAAACCAGCCCTCCACCTCTGTCCATGGGGAGGCGATGAAACCCATCTCAGAAGTGTGAGATAAGAAGGGACGGAAGCCACTGGTTTCATTGCTTAGAGTATATCTGGCCCAGAGTAAGTTCCCACTAAATGTGTAATATTATGCATTATGTATTATATATATATATATAAAAATATATATTTATATACATATATAAATTATGTAGATTTAAGTCTACATAATCAGTTCCTCAAGATGTAGACTTAAATCGCCCCCCTGCCCCCATCCCTCATTCGGTTTGGGGTGTCTCAGTGCCTTCTGGCTTTTTCAGCACTGTTGCCCTGGTAGGCTCCATGAACTTTTTCAATAAAGGAAGCGACATGCACCAGCACACTTGGGTACACACACAATGTTTAAATAATTAACCAATGGAAAATTAAGAACAGAGAGTTCTTGGTTGGGGCTGGAGGAAAGCCAACCTCTTTCACAAAGAGGAGGCTGAATGGCTGTGGCAGGGCCCTGAGGGGCAGGGCCAAGGCCAATCAGCCCGCGTGACTGCCCAAGGGAGGGGAACACGGAAGGATGAATGGGGCAAACCGTGGGTATGTTCTGGCGTTCAAGCCTCGCTCAGCTGACCTTGGCGAGGGGTGAGGACCCTAGCAGGGGGCCCCAGATAGTCATGACCAAGCCCAT